ACTAAGCAAAATAAGATGCATAAAGGATAAACATCACATGCAATCAATATAAGTGATATGATATGGCCATCATCATCTTGTGCTTTTGATCTCCATCTCCAAAGCACCGTCATGATCACCATCGTCACCGGCTTGACACCTTGATATCCATTGAGGTATCATTGTCGTCTCGCCAACTATTGCTTCTACGACTATCGCTGCCGCTTAGTGATAAACTAAAGCAATTACATGGCGATTGCATTTCATACAATAAAGCGACAACCATATGGCTCCTGCCAGTTGCCGATAACTTTTGTTATAAAACATGATGATCTCATACAATAAAATTTAGCATCATGTCTTGACTATATCACATCACAACATGCCCTGCAAAAACAAGTTAGACGTCCTCTACTTTGTTGTTGCAAGATTTACGTGGCTGCTATGGGCTGAGCAAGAGCCATTCTTACTTATCCATCAAAAACCACAACACGGTATAGTGATTGCTTTTTGATCTTCAGAAAGAACCATGTTCATTGAATCCGATTCAACTAAAGTTGGAGAAACTGACACCCACCAGCTACCTATGTACGAAGCATATCGGTAGAACCAGTCTTGCGTAAGTGTACACGTAATGTCAGTCTGAGCCGCTTCATCCAACAATACCGCTAAATCAAGAATCAACTAGTGACGGCAAGCAATATGTATATACCCATGCCCACAACTCCTTTGTGTTCTACTCGTGCATATAACATCTACGCATAGACCTGGCTCGGATGCCACTGTTAGGGAACACATTAATTTCAAAAAAAATTCCTACGCACACGCAAGATCCATCTAGGTGATGCATAGCAACGATAGAGGAAGAGGGTTGTCCACGTACCCTCGTAGACCGTAAGCGGAAGCGTTATGACAACGCGGTTGATGTAGTCGTACATCTTCACGATCCGACCGATCCTAGCATCGAAGGTACAACACCTCCATGATCTGCACACGTTCAGCTCGGTGACGTCCCGCGAACTCTAGATCCAGCTGAGTGTTGAGGGAGAGTTTCGTCAGCACGACGGTGTGATGACGATAATGATGAAGCTACCGGCACAGGGCTTCGCCTAAGCACTGCAACGATATGACCGAGGTGGAAATCTGTGGAGGCGGGCACCGCACACGGCTAAACAATCAACTTGTGTGTCTATGGGGTGCCCCCTCCCCCGTATATAAAGGAGTGAAGGAGGGGGAGGGTCGGCCCCTCTATGGTGCGCCCAAGGGGAGTCCTACTCCCACCGGGAGTAGGATTCCCCCTCCTTCCCTAGTTGGATTAGGAGAGGAAGGAAGGGGGAGAGAGGGGGAAGGAAAGGGGGGGGACGGCCCCCCACCCAATTCGGATTGGGATTGGGGGGCTCCCCCTCCTAGGCTCCTATCTCCTCTCTCCCAGTATGGCCCAATAAAGCCCATATACCTCCCGGGGGGTTCCGGTAACCTCCCGGTACTCCGGTATATGCCCGAACTCACCCGGAACCATTGCGATGTCCAAACATAGGCTTTCAATATATCGATCTTTATGTATCGACCATTCCGAGACTCCTCATCATGTTTGTGATTATATCCGAGACTCTGAACTACCTTCGATACATAAAAACACATAAACTCATAATAACGATCGTCACGGAACGTTAAGCGTGCGGACCCTACGGGTTCGAGAACTATGTAGACATGACCGAGACTCATCTCCGGTCAATAACCAATAGCGGAACCTGGATGCTCATATTGGTTCCTACATATTCTATGAAGATCTTTATCGGTCAAACCGCATAAAAACATACGTTGTTCCCTTTGTCATCGGTATGTTACTTGCCTGAGATTCGATCGTCGGTATCTCAATACCTAGTTCAATCTTGTTACCGGAAAGTCTATTTACTCGTTCCGTAATGCTACATCCCGTAGCTAACTCATTAGTTACATTGCTTGCAAGGCTTATAGTGATGTGCATTACCGAGAGGGCCCAGAGATACCTCTCCGATACACGGAGTGACAAATCCTAATCTCAATCTATGCCAACTCAACAAACACCATCGGAGACACCTATAGAGCATCTTTATAGTCACCCAGTTACGTTGTGACGTTTGATAGCACACTAAGTGTTCCTGCGGTATTCGGGAGTTGCATAATCTCATAGTCATAGGAACATGTATAAGTTATGGAGAAAGCAATAGCAGTAAACTAAACGATCATCGTGCTAAGCTAACGGATGAGTCAAGTCAATCATATCATTCTCTAATGGTGTGATCCCGTTAATCAAATGATAACTCATGTCTATGGTTAGGAAACATAACCATCTTTGATTAACGAGCTAGTCAAGTATAGGCATACTAGTGAAACTTTGTTTGTCTATGTATTCACACATGTACAAAGTTTCTGGTTAATACAATTCTAGCATGAATAATAAACATTTATCATGATATAAGGAAATATAAATAACAACTTTATTATTGCCTCTAGGGCATATTTCCTTCAGTGAGCCCTCCCATGGTCTTTAGCAAGCCGGCGGGAATCTGTTGCCGAACCGGCAGTCGGATCCAGGGCCGGCGGATCTCGTTGCGCGTCGCCGGCAGCGATCACCGTGGCTGATTGGCGCAACCTCGCCATGCCGCCAGAACCTTTTAGGTGGCACCTCATCCCCGCGGCGTTGGGCGCCAAAACAAAGGCCATTTGCGCCTCCATGACCAGTCATGAACCCAAAAAGGAGGAGCGGCATGCGCACCACGTGAGGCTTCCTGCACGGCTTCAAGCGGAGGCGGCTGCTGCAGCCCTCGCGGCATAGGCGTCCACGGCAGCACGCAACACAGAGAAGGCTTCGGCAGCCCGTGAGGCGGCGTCAGAGGAATCCCTCCATGCCCGCATAACCGAGAAGCGGCGGAGGAGGATGGTGAAAGTGATGGCAAAAGAGCAAAGCTGTACGGTCCATGCCATGTCTGGACTGCCCCCTAAGGAGGATAAAGGCAAGGATGGCGACAGATCAGACAACTCTGTCAGTGAGCAGATCCACCTCGACCCGTTCTGCTTCTTCGACCACTGCTGCCGCAAGGACGACTGGAAGGGCCAAGGCAAGGGCAAGGCCGGTCGTGGATGAACTTCTTCGATCATCGTTTCGTTTGCAGTTAGTAGACTATGTCAATTTTTGATAGTCCGATGACATGTGATTAGCTATGTATGTACATTGCATGAGCTAATATGGATTTGAGTATTCGATTTAGATGCATCTGATTATGAAGGAGCAAATTTATGTGTTGTCGATCACTGCCCGCGGACACAACCGGGCGCGTTCTCAGACGTTTGAGGGCCGGATTTTGGTATTTGTGGTTGTAGATGCTCTTAGAGTTTAGTCAAACTATCGTAATGCTATTGCACTAGCCAGCCTATACACGTATTAAAGGTGCCACTAGCTTTCTGAACTATGTATTGAATAATAACCAAATTTCTTTAAGTCATGATGCTAGAGCTAGCCACATCTTCGTTACCGAAAATGAAGGTTCGTTATGTTACCGGAGGAGGTCTATATATTTATTTTATTGGATGTACATTACGTACCTTCAATTGATGTAGTAAAATCAAGTCATTTTTGTTTTGTACAGTGTCACCGAATGTTAAGGTGGCGATGACATTATAGTTTAGTTGCACTACCCAAATTTTTTGGGTGAAAATAGAGTCTCCGGAGCACCAACTACTCCTGATGATAAATATGCCTTCAGGACTTCTAGTGTCTCATTCAACATTCCTGGACCCTTTTGACCAACTTCGAAGGTATAATTGTTCTAAGCAATCTTCATTTAGTTTAATCATACTCATATGTTATTATTCTAATTCATTACTTGCTTGTGAGCCAGTTTTGTAACAAAAAATATTTTAGGCGCACTGCGCAAAAACAAAAAGTTTCATTTCCTCCATCACGCACCTCCTCATGTGCATATTTTATGCATATTACAGAAGACTTATATAAAGATGTACAGCACTAAAGATGAAATGAAGAGGCAAGATGGGTGGACTAGCCGGGATGACAATATAGTACAAGCACATCACAACAAAACCTGTCTTTATAGGGTTTAAAAGTATATTCCATATGATGTGTATGAAATATGTTCAATGCACATGACGGCTTTGAACCCCAATTAAATGCTCAAAGTGTGCAATATGGATGAGTGCATTTTTTGTTGTGTGTTTTGGTCAAATCATTTGCTTGGCTGAGAAACAAACATATATAAAGCCCCGGCATGAAAAGGGAAATTGAACTATTATCGTGGTTATCACTGACCAGCCTTCTGACCCATCTATTATAGTCAACTCATCACACTGAGGCACTGACGCGGCAAAAAGCGTCAGTGATGATGTAATCAGGCCGATTGGTGTAGTTCGGATCTGCAGTAGTGCTAGCCGCTAGATGTGGTTGTGGAGGATGAACCAGGAGAAAAGCTTGCATGTTGGTTCGGCTTGACGTCAGATCTTGGCAACACCGGATCTTGGATGAGATCCGTTGAATTTAATGACAGCTAGCTAGGGTGAGCTACTAGCTGTTTGTTTTGACTATTTGTCGCATACAACAGGCCACGTAATATTCTGACTCTCAAGCCTCCTAAGTCAAATCTTCTGAACTGCAGCTAGCTTAGCTTAATAAGATAGCGCGTACCGTAGTTAATTATCCACTGACAAAGCAATAAGAATCTCAGGCTACGGCCGCTACGCTCTCAGCTGTGTCACCGCCACTATACTATATATATACATGGCGATCTGGTCAATGGTGATGCGTGCACTACCTACCATTAACTTTGGTCAGCTGGTTAACGACTCGATACGCGGGACAGCTTGAATGTTGACTGAAAAATATTTTGACTTTCTACTAGCATTCGCATAGCGTATATATCCTATAAATAGCAGGAGTGATGTTTGGGCATCGATCACACAGCTACTAGCTAGCACAGCAGCATTGACTTGGGATTTGGGGATCACATCACACAAGAAAATATTACTCCATGGGAGGCCAAAAGGGTCCTGCTGCGATCATGGTGGGTGTGCTCCTCATACTGGGGCTGGCCACTGCGGCGATGAGCTCCTCGGAGAAGGTGGCCACCGGCGAGAAGACGTCGTGGCCGGAGGTGGTGGGGCTATGCGCGGAGGAGGCCAAGAAGATCATCCTCAAGGACAAGCCCGATGCCAACATCGTCGTTCTCCCCGCCGGCTCGATGGTCACCATGGACTACGATCCCCTGCGCGTCCGCATCTTCGTCGATACCGTCGCCGAGGCCCCCCACACCGGCTAGCTAAGCTTGGTACCTACACGGTTACACAGAAGTGACTATTAATGTCAAGGGACATGGAAGAATAATTTCATATACCCCCCATATCCATGCATGGATGTCACGGGCATATGTGTGCTAGCTCCTTAATTTGCATTGTCACTTTAGTTTTGCGCCTCCTCTCACACAAGGAAGATTTGTCTTGTTAATTAGTGGAAAACCGAGCGGAAACAAAAAAAATAGAACAAGAAACAATTATTATAGGCCCGACGCGGCGACGCCCGTAGAATATATTTTTTTACTAAACAGAAGAAAAAACTACGTCCAAACCAGCACTATTCCCCGGCGGCGGCGCCCTCAGATGTAAAATCCTCTGCTCTGTTCTACGTCCCCTCCGACGCCAATGCAGCGCCTCTCCTCTCCCTCGCGACCTCTCCTCTCCTCCGTGGCGTCTCGCTGGTGGTGGCCACCAGCACTCGCGCGACGACTCGATCCACCTCTCCGTCGTGTTTCCTCGGAGGCTACATGGGGCCAAGATGTGAACCTCCATGACAGCGATGAAGATCCATCGAGCGCAACCAAGGCTCGCACGACTGAAATCGTGATCAAGGAGGACGAAGAAGAAGCCAGCGACTACGAGTACAACCTCGGCCACGTACTTGAAAAGAGCGGACACCGTGATGGCTCTATGTACAGGGCTATCGGTTGGGGCTGGAAAAGGGATTATTCTCTCGGCGATCGTAGCGAGAGTAAGTCGTCAATACTTGTCTCTTCTGTCTTTTCTTATTCTTTACTGGTTGCTGTTAGTTGTTACAGATATGAACTTTTTTCCCCTTAGACATTGGTACCTTTGTCCACGTCCTGCGGCCGTACATATTTGACTGTGATCATAGAGAATTAGAGATTATTATGTTTAAGGAGCTAATGTTATATCTGTGTGCGAACTTCCTCCGAACCCTCATTGTCTTGCACCATAGCTTTCAGTTAACTGCAATGCAAGTCTTAAATTTTCGATGAGATTAGTCATTAGTTAGCACTTCCACCCACAAAACCTGAATTCAATTGTGCAGGCCCTTCTTCAATCTGCGCAGTCACCTGACAGAAAATAAATAGCATTTTTACATTTGTAGCTCTATGAGTATACCCTGGTTATGTTGTACAGGTATAGTCTCCTTTTGGCTTATTGTCGGAACCTTAATTAGAACGATTGAGTTTGCTCTCCTCCCCAACTATTCTGCAGTGATACTAGATAGGGTACTGAGTTGTAGCACCAATGGCTGAAAATCATCCGGTCAACTCCTCCTAGCATATCAATCTCATTTGAATAGACGACCAAGTGTTGTACTTCCTCCATCCCAAAATCCATGTCTTAGATTTGTCTAAATATGAATGCATCAAGTCACGCTTTAGTATTAGATACATCCGTATCTAGACAAATTTAAGACAAGAATTTTGGGACGGAGGGAGTATGTTCTAGAACAATAGACGACATGCAATTTGTGTTGATATCCTCTATAATCCTGACTAGCCACGTGCATAATGCTTTCCATGGAAGCATCTAATAAACTTTTCAGGGCAATGTTTCCTGTTGGTGTTCCTAAATAGGAACTTTTTGTGGGAGCAAAATTCCTTGTAAAAAGAACATATATAATTTCTACTTAATAGATGAAAATAAAAAAATTCCAATAGGGCCATATAGTCCTGGAATAACACTTTTTTTTTTACTTTTCTAATGCCATATATCTATTTACCACATTAATTCCAGTCACAAACTTACAATGCAACTTTACTTTTTATGAAGCTCGGTTGGAAGCAATGGTGTTTTCAGATCCCGCGAAACGTATGACTCGTCCTTGTAGCATGCTGCAAATTTTCTCATTAGAGTTTGCTAAAATTCCTGGCAATGATGGCTTAGTAGAGTTGTATGGATACGTAGCGGCGCGGGATGATGTGGATAAGATGCTTAATTATGTCATCAATATTAGCAGGGATGAGCCCATTATTGTGAAGCAGGTGCAC